CCATGCGAGACACCACGTAAACGCACGCCCTTACTCCCCTGCTCTTTAGGCATATCCCTACCACCCCCACCAGTTTGGTGAACTGTGATTAACTCAATTGTAGAGCCGGGTCGAATTGGTGACGGCTATTATGGGCAGATAAATTAGTTTTTAAACAATTTGAAACTAAGGGGAGGTAATAAGTTCTGCTTTCAGGGGGGGGGGGGGAGAGTAGAAAGTGAGGGTGAGGATAATCGTCCTTCACGAGCTACTGATAGTGTTTTAAAGAAAAATATTTTCAGTCGCAGCACTGGTAGTGTCGAATTCACAAATTATGAATTACTGAAAAATAGAAAATAAAACAACTAAATAGCGGCGTATGCTACGTCAGCTCGTTTAACTATAAAGCACATGTAAACAAACAATATGTTACATATCTGAATACACAGGTGTCATTAAATAGGTATACAATACTACCAACAAGTATTCTCAATGTAAATACTTCACCTAACTAGTCCGCAACATGCGGCACTAGTATGCTAAAAAACCATTAATATAAAATTACACTACCTTCATTAGGTCTATATATAACCTAGTTAACCTATGCCCATGTCAGAATTAGGTCTATATATAACCTAGTTAACCTATGCCCACGTCAGCAACAGAACGGTCCTAGTCATTAGCAGCCTGGGGTTTGAATGCAGCAGACACAGGCACAGCTACCCAGAGTCCCAGAGGTCACATGACATGTGAACATGGTGAACATCGCTCACAGAAGATCATAAAAAATAACATAACAGGTGCGGCCCCACAGGGGCAGCAACCCAATAAATTGTAACTTATCCCCCCTGACTGGTATGTGTTAGACAAAGATTTGAAAGTTGGTAACAAGCTGCTTGACACAGTTGAGTAGACTCAATCATTAGCCTCTCCACGCTTTGTGTGAATACTGTGACAGCCCACTATATCCCCTCCCTCGTAGTGTGGACTTTGTAGCGTCAACATCTAGGCTTACAACTCGAGATGCTCTGCTCATTTTCTGCTGACTTGGCGAGACACTTCGGATGAGAACATAAAAACCCGATTGTGACTTCTCTGTTGATCCTTTTCATTGTTTGACACACTACTACAGCACTACTACAGTACTACTACAGCACTACTACAGCACTACTACAGTACTACTACAGCACTACTACGGCACTACTACAGTACTACTACAGTACTACTACAGCACTACTACAGTACTACTACAGTACTACTACAGCACTACTACGGCACTACTACAGTACTACTATAGTACTACTACAGCACTACTACGGCACTACTACAGTACTACTACAGTACTACTACAGCACTACTACGGCACTACTACAGTACTACTACAGTACTACTACGGCACTACTACAGTACTACTACAGTACTACTACAGCACTACTACAGTACTACTACAGTACTACTACAGCACTACTACGGCACTACTACAGTACTACTATAGTACTACTACAGCACTACTACGGCACTACTACAGTACTACTACAGTACTACTACGGCACTACTACAGTACTACTACAGTACTACTACAGCACTACTACGGCACTACTACAGTACTACTACAGCACTACTACAGTACTACTACAGCACTGCCACTACTAGATCTAGAGCAAGAGTCTAGTTGATACAACTGAGAATGGAAGTTCCGTTTATTGTGTATGGAGTCATCCATAAATGACGTCTCGCTTTTTTGACGATTTTTATCCCGTCCCCCACCCCCTGTCACACATCGTCACAAAAAGCCAGACCCCCCTAAAATGAGTCACACCTCAGCACTTACACACCCCTCCCCACCCCCTCAACATTGCAGTTCTTAAAACATCGATATTTTTTCAAAATCTTGTCTGAACTCTGTCAACATAGAGTATTTTGATCAATTCCTATTACAATTTATTAAACCCGATTTCTAAAACGAGAAATAACGGCTAAATCTCGTTTTCTAACATTGCTTTTTTATAATGCAAAAGTGTGATGTTACACATGGTCACAAAATTACGGACAGAGTTTCTTCCAGGCATCTCTTGCGAGCTCCAATTTTATCTTGAGAACTACCCCTGATCAAGTTTCATCTCATTTTTAAAGAACTGTTTTTGAGTGACAGGGTTTAACTTTATAGCGGGGCTTATCTGGACAAGATCCTATTTTGGCCCTAGAGTCTAGAGAGTGGTACAGGTTAGATATTTTTAGGTTACCGAGTTACTTGTAATAAATATAATTTATAACTCATAGATTTGTATTGGAGACGGAAACAAAACGTACGATATGGCCAAAGGGAAATAACTAATGAAATACTCATAAGCATCCATTTAAGTGTGTTCTCTCCCTTCAGCCATTCGCTATTTGTTGGACCACAGGGTGGGGCTGTTGGACCACAGGGTGGGACTGTTGGACCACAGGGTGGGGCTGTTGGACCACAGGGTGGGGCCACAGGGTGGGACTGTTGGACCACAGGGTGGGGCTGTTGGACCAC